TGCCCTGGAATATATAAAATAATGAACCTTCACGTATAGAAATTATAACCATAGTTACTCATCATAGACTGTCAAATTAACTCCCTAGTGTGTAAAATTGGATGGATCTCTTGAATACAAAATATTGTCTGTGGAGAGAGGAAGAGAATATTCATTCTTGTGAAGATTAAAGGCTGAGTTTGAGACAGATGATAAAATTAGTCTGAAGAACAGTGGGGATATATTTCACTGACAAAAAGCTGACTGACAGTTATGTGCTTGAATATGGAAGGTTATGTGTGAGTGAATTTGATCACCAGACCTAAGGCTCTAAATTCTTGGCCCAGGCAGATTCACTTCCACACCAAAAATAATGAATCATTCTTGTTTTCTCCCAAACTGATTTTACCTCTTTTGGGGAAATTTAGGATTGAATATATGAGTGAGCAAGTTATGAGTGGGAGAGAAGATATTAGATACTGGTGGCCATGATGTCTTCTAACTGGGATTTGCTTTCTGGATGTCTTAGGAAGTCAAGATTACAGTAAGCCTGAGCAAAATTTAGCTGAGTTCTTATAGAATTAATGTGCAAGCTCTGCAAATTATAAACAAAGATTTTCCTTTACCTCTTCCAGACTGGGATGGGAGGCCTTCAACTTCCAACCAGCAAGAGGCTTTGTAGGATATGAAGCCCCTGTGTGACTGATGCCTTAATTAAAGGTGATCTGTGGACTTGGCTTATACACTGAGCCTTAAGAAATGATACATTTCAGTGAGATTAGATCACAGGTTTTCTTATCATCTACTAGAGGCCCAGTGCATGAAATTTGTGCAGGAAGGGGGTCCCTTAGCTTGGCCGGCACCGTCTCCAATCTAGGACCCCTTGGGGGGTGTCTGACTGCTGGTTTAGGTTGCAATCCGGGACCACTGGCTCCTAACAGCTCACATGCCTGCCTGCCTGATTACCCATAACCACCTCTGCCTGCTGGCTGATACCCCTAACTATTCCCCTGCTACCCTGATCACTCCATAACTGCTCCCCTGCTGGCCTGATGTCCCAAACTGCCCTCCTCTGCCTGCCTGATTGCCTCCTAACTGCCTTCCCTTGCCAGACTGATGGACCCCTAACTGCCCTCCTTGCCAGCCTGATCACCCCTTAACTGCCCCCCCATGTTGTCCTGATCAAGCCCTAACTACTCCCCCATGCAGGTCTGATAGCCCCTCGGCCCCTGCCACCATGGCTTTGTCCAGAAGGATGTCCAGAAGATGTCTGGAAGATTTCTGGTCTAATTAGCATATTACCTTTTTATTAGTATAGATTTCTTTCACAAGGTGCCTTATGCTACCTACCAACTAAACCTATACAACCTTGTCTCTATAATTCCACTAGACTTTTGCTAGTAAGCCTGGAAAAGATTATCTTTTGCTTAATGAGAACCATAAAATTTCAGACTTTAGAGTTAGCAACTCTCTCATTCTATAAATGAAAGAACTTAAGCCTTGAGAGGAAAATTAAGTCAATCACTAAAAAAAAATTTTTAAATATTGTGGATCTACTGTGAGGCAGGCACTGTGATTCAGGGTGAATAATACGGGCTCTGCCCTCCTGTAGCTTGTACACCAGTAGGAGACACTGATAAGAAGACAGTAATTGTTTGCCTGGAATACCTGGATAAAGGCTTGGAAATTACACCCATGAAAATGGTAATAGGTATATCTGTATTTTGAGATATCCTTGTAGGCAGACCCTGAGTTTTGTGACTTTTGCTTTAACATTTGTATTTAATGAGGTGTCGTTGGTCTTTATTACTTAAGCTTAGAGTGTTTAGACAGAAACTCCAGACAAACCCAGCAGCTCAGACCCTCTTCTGTGAACAACAATATCCCCACAGACTGTACAGCACTGGCACCTCTTACCAGGTTCCCTGGTCTACACTACAGCATGGAGGACATTGACAACCTTTCTATCCACCGCTGCCACCTAATGGCTCTTTTGGCTACTACAGCTCTAGTTCTACTTCCTGATTTTGAGCTCTGGGTTTCTTGCCCCAGGCAGAGAGGTGTTGACTTAGTGACCCTAAGGTCCTATTCCATCTTGGAAGCCTAAGATTCTACAATTGCCTTTGATGTTAGAAGGCAATATTTGTCTATTGAAGAGCAAGAGACCTAAGTGAATCCAAATCAATAAACCTTTGATGAGGTCTTCCACAAAACTAGAAAAAGAAAACACACCCAGAAGACTAAAAAGCACAGTGTAAATGTTAAGAGCTTGGCAAATGGGGAGCATGGCAGGCCAGCAGCTGTGTTGAAGCAGTGGCCATGTATGAATACTTGTTATTCTTTTAGGGCTGGCTTTTCCCTCTTTAATCATATATCACTTTTTTGCTCAAGTCCCAAGAACATGCTTTCACTTGATTTTATTATAAATTATAATTAGTGTACTTACATTTTTTTCAGCTGCTATTCATTTCAGTATTGTGGAATGACCAAAAATTTCTTAGTGTATAATTTTGTATTCTTCAACAGTGTGCCAAATTTGTGTATTGTTATTATGAAACAGATAAGATGTATCAAAGCCAAATGATGATGAGAAAGAGTGTTCACTTTGCTCCCTCTCTCACATGCCTTCCCAGGAAACCATCAGAGCCCTGGATTTCCTGGTCTTTCTAGATTACAGCCATCCTCCACGGCTGTTTAGTAATACTACAGGCTTAATGCTAGAGCCTGTGGCATCTTTAAGTATGTAAAAATATTTGACATAAAAATGTTTATTGATGTACATATAAGAAAAGTTCAAAATAAAGATCACTAATTCATTTAATGTCTATGAAAATATACTATTTGTTTTATTTTAATTTAGGATTGATATGGATTACATCACACTTGAGAATCATTGAAGGTCAAATTTTTCTTCCATTCTAAGAATTTCTTATTATGTGTGATGGTTGCTAAGAAATCCTAGCCAATCATAAAGTAAATGAGTTGCTGATTCACAAACAATTTGAAAAACAAAATTGTAAAAATTGTTTTCAAATTTATAGTGAAAAGTCATTTTTATTATTGGATGTAGGAACACTGACATATATTTGATATAATGTGGGAAAAGATATGATGGTTTTTAAAGGCTCTAAATGTTCTTTAAATTTTTCTCCAAAGAACTAAAAATATTTTCAGAAACTTCTAAATATTTTTCTGGAAACACCAAATATTTTTCAATTCTCAAACCTTCATATTTCTTAACACATAAAGTTTTTGATGTTAATATGAAATTTGCTTTCTATTTTGTCATAACCTACTAATGGCCCTCTGCACGAATCTGTGCGTGAGTAGCTCACTACTGCTTGCCTTAGCTGGCCACCCCGTTCACGCTGCTCTGAGCCACACATAGCTTGCTGCCCCATCCTCTTATAGCTCTCAAACACTTGTAGCTTTCTGCCCCTCCCCTCCTGCTATTCAGTCATTAAGTGACAGCATCCCAACCAATTTGCATATTGCCCTATTATAAGTATAGATACCTCTTTAATTCTCTTTTTAGTAGCTATCATTGAGATAAAATCATACTTCAGAAAGAAGCATTTTGTTTACTTGATAAGTACGTTTGAGTGTGTGTGACACACTGCTCCTGGGAAGTGTCATTTCCACAGTTTAGACAAAAAACCCTTGAGAGTTGATGTAAGCAATCCTCTTTTTCTTATTCCTCTTTTGTGGAAGACGTTACAAAATCATTACAGCAAACTATAAGGACTTTGGCTTGACAAAAGTTCTGAAGAGATTTTCTTTGTTGTCCTTTTATCTGATCACATATAATAGTAACATCATTTGCCTATTGTGTAACAGTGTATGTACATTTATGGGGAAATTCTCTGAGAATAATCCACCTTGTTCCTAAGAATAAACTTGAATTCTTCTTCCTCCAGTCTTCTGTAAAATTGACCCAGACCCGCTTGCAATAATTGTATCAATTCTTCCATGCTCTTCTCTGTTTTTTTTTTTTCAACTAGTACGATATATAATAATTCCACTGTTAGCCGCAAACCAACTAATTCTTAGGGAATTGGGACTATCTCCCTTCACCTCAGGACAAAACTGCTCTCAACTGCTCTCCTTATAGCCAGCTGAATACATAGAATCTTGTCTTTAACAAACCTTTCATTGACCCTTCTCTGGGTTCAGAAGACCCTCTTTGCCCTGGCCAGTGTGACTCAGTTGATTGAGCGTTATCCCATGCTCCAAAAGGTTGCCAGTTTGATACCTGGTCAGGGCATATACCCAGGTTGTGGGTTTATTTGGTTTTGGTGCATACAGGAGGCAACCAATAGATGTTTCAGTCTCACGTCAATGTTTCTCTCTCTCTCTCCCTCTCGTTCTCTCTCTCTCTCTCTCCCTCTCGCTCTCTCTCTCTCTCTCTCTCTCTCTCTCTCTCTCTCTCTCTTTCTCCCTCGGTCTACCCTCTCACCCTTCCTTTTTCTATAAAATAAATTAAACATATTTTTTTTAAAGTCCGTCTTCTTCATAGGCCTCCTATCTTAGTGTTTCATCTCAGTGAACTAGAGCTCCTATTCCTTTCACATTGATGCTACATCTCCTTTTAGGGAGGACTTGGTCTGTTTTTATGGTCTCTGTGTGCCAGGACCTAGCACAATGCCTTGTACCCAGAAGACCTTAAGTAATGTTTGTTATTCAGTTAATTAATAAATGGATTAGAGTGTGAATGGATATTTTAATGCTATAACTGATAGAAAGGTAAATACTCAGAGTCTTAAGGGATATCAAAGAATGGTTTGGGCAGGAAGTTGTGTTCAGGAAACTTAGATTGATTTTCCAAAAGAATGGATTGACAAGAAATGCGAGATTAATGAGGAAGAGAAAAGAAAAGATATAATTTAGGTGACTGAGGATACTGTACTCATAATGCCCTGTCACTAGTCCGGCAGGTCTCTGTCCTTTCAGCCTCATTTGCCCTTTTAGCCTAATTTGCCCTACCGTACCTTTTTCCCTGGGCAGGAGCCTTGTTGGAAGAGATGATAATGGGCTTGGGTCCCCTGTTGTTGGTCTTCATGCTGGGGCCCTGTCTGACCCCACCGGCCCTGGCTCAGGATGAGAGGTACAGACACTTCCTGGACCAGCACTATGACCCCAACCCACGTGGCCGGAATGACAGATACTGTAATACCATGATGAGGAGACGAGGCTTGACTTCACCCTGCAAAGACACCAACACCTTTATTCATGGCACCAGTAACAACATCAAGGCTGTCTGTGAAGATGAGAATGGAAAGCCTTATGGGACAAATTTCAGAATAAGCAAGTCCCCTTTCCAGGTCACTACTTGCAAGCACAGAGGAGCGTCCCCCCATCCTCCCTGCCGATACAGAGCCACACCAGGGTCCAGAGACATAGTTATTGCCTGTGAACATGGCTTTCCTGTGCACTTTGATGAGTCCTTCTACCGTCCATAACCAGCAGGCCCCTGGCCCAGAGTTGGCTCTGCTTTTCTATTCCTGGCACTTCCCCTACATCCTAGAACAGGGGTGGCCACATTCATTGCCAGGGGCCAAGAAATGAGCTACCTGGATCTTTGTTTTCTGTTTTATAATATGTTAATAAATAAAAATGTCTCTGATATCGGTAAGAATCAAAGTCTTCTCATCAATTTGGCCTATAGATTTTCCCCCATTTTCTCTACTCAGCTGCCCACAGAAAGGATTACATGGAATACAAATGCCTTTTTTCCTATCAGTTCCTTTGTTCTCAGTCAATAGGGAGGTAGACTTTCCCTTTTATGTGAGTGTAAGGATGTTAAATTCATCTTACAGCAGAGCTGGGAAATTCCAGGGCACATGGCTCCTAAGCAGAATTTTCAGGAGGAGCAAATTATTTTTGCTGTCAAATAAGTCAATATTACTTTTACAAATATTAAACTTTAAGGAGTAGTGTCTAAAACTAAATACCAACAGATTAATTATTCTTTATCCACCTCTCTCTTAAATTTTTTCATTTTAAAAGATATATTTCAAATAAAATACAAGGCATATTTATTAATGGATTCAAATCTATCTTCTAAATTCTCTATAAGAGGCAAACTCAGATTAATATTTCAGTATCCTGTTATTCCAAAATACCTAGATATTTAATTTTTTACTCCAAAAAGCTTTAAATTACAAAAAAATTATGGAAAACTATATATACACACATATATATACATATATATACACACACATATATACATATATATATATATCACTGAAAAAGCTTTTATTATAAACCCTTTGTTTTAGTTACATTTATTTATTATGTATTAACAAACTTCAGAGTTTAAAGCCAATTATTTTACCCAAGGCATTTTCTAAGCAGATTTTGTAACAGGGGTACCTCACTGGCCTTCAATGGCTTTATGTTATTTTCCTTTATAAAAATAGGAGTTCCCCCTCCCCTGCCTGTCTTCACTGGTATTTCTGCACCTTCCTGGAGGGTTTTTCTATACAGCTATTCCTCCCAGTGTTATGGGGGGAAAAAGAGCATTGGGGACTAGTTATGGTTATGGGAAATATTAATCTGTTAGCCATGATTGTCTAACCAGGACATACCACCTGGCTGGGAGTCATAAGTCCCCTCCCTCTTGAAATGTGGTACATTCCTATTCAAGAACTGCCCCTTATGGAAACATTAACCCTGTTGCCCAACAATGGAGTCCCAACCCAGATTGCATTGCTTACTTCCCCATACCCATAATCCCTACTTCCCCATGTAATCTTTGTCCCTATATTCATAAACCAGGGAACAGCAATCTAAAGTCCCCAAAAGAGAGAAAGCCAAAATTACATTAGACACTCAGACAGAAATCTCACTAGCTAAGAGTTTCTGGTGACTGACGCCCTGAGAGGGAGAGCAGGAAGAGTACATTCTGACGATCTCTGTCCCATGTTCAGCCTCAATACACATAACTGGGCTTCCCCAAAGCAGGACATACCCCATCTTTAAAGAAATTAAACCAAACAACAAAGAAACACAAGACATCAACATACAGTGTGGGGGCCTGAAGCTGCGGGGATCTCCCTTTTCCATGTCCCCCATGGAAAGAGAGATGAATGAACCAGTTCTAAGTGGAGGTGCCCAGGGATTGAGAAATATTAGAAATAAAGAGAGAAGACATAGAAATAGATTTCAAGCTGGGAGCTGGGAGGGCCGCTGACCTCCTCTGCTGGAGAGACTGACGACCTCCTAAACCACGCAGCACATCTATTTATATTCCAATCCAACAAGGGGTTTCACAGGAAAACAAAGAGCCTGGGAGAGCCCAGGTTTCGCCCACTCCTTCTTCCTGAACAAACACAAGCCAGGAACTAAGAACATGGGAGTGCAACTGACATGATTCTGTCAATATACCGGACCCAGTCAGCAACAATCTAAAGAATGTCCAGGTGTCTTCCCATTTGGCCCTCTACAATACAGATGTGCACAATGCACCAAAACTTACACCACAGAGTGCCCTGCATTAACCAAGCACCGAAGCCGAGCGATATTCCCTGTCCTGGTTCGGGAACTGTCCCTCCCCTGAACTTCAGCATTGTCCCAAATAGACTATTTGGGGAAGAATTCTATCTAGGCCTAGAATTTTTGTTTCCCATCCTCAGAAACTCCTTTGTGACTCTGTTCCTACTCAGTCCCCCATATTGGAGATGTCTCACACTGTGCTCAATCTCCCCCACCTTCCAAAGAAAAACAGTCTTGGACTTACCTATGGAACCCACAAAGAGACAGGGCCTAGGCAAAGGGCCACCCAAAATTGGGTGGAATGTGCATACCCTTCAACCAGGTCCCTCCCTAGTCTGGGCACAGAAATCCCAGATACACCCCCAAATTTTGAGAAATGGCTCACCTGTCCGAATTTCAAAAGATGGACTGGGAAACAGAAACATGGCAAAAATGAGACTTTTAATAACACTCTCGAGAGTGGATGTCCATCACATGGTATACCAGTGGGGAGAGGAACATAGACTATTTAGTCCTCCTTCGTTTCCTCATTGGCTGAGTCCTATGAGGTCACCTGTTTCTTTATACATCACCTAGGTCTTCTTGTCTCCCTGTGGGCCATTTAAAATATTTGCTGAGACCTTTTTCTTTTTTCTTTTTTTAATTTTGGCTGAGACCTTTCTAGTAGACTCCACTTTCCTTTGTTTAAAATCTTCTTGGAAAAATGTGCTGTCAGCTGTTGGAACCCCTTTCATGTCCCTCGTGGTTCAGGGTTCTGGTTCAGGGTTTGGGTTCTGGAGAAGGGCTGCACACAAATGAAAGAGACTAGAAGAAATTTTAATTTGGCGATATGGGGGGCCTGGCTGGAGCCCACCTCCAGTGGAAGGACTGCCGCTAAGCTCTGGCCTTGCTGTCCCTTTTATTGAGACTATGGGATACACCCATTATCCTAAGCAGGTTTGGGATACACCCATAGCCCTTAGGCAGGTAATAAGCAGAATATCATATCAGTAAGGATTTACATGATTACAAGATGGGGAAGTTGCCTCAGTTACCATTGTCTTAATTAGATAGGGAGGGGTTGTCTCTGACCTTTCAGAGCTTCAAGGTCGACGAGCCTTTTATATCTTTCTATTAGTGAGACAATGATCGGTTTTCGGCAGTCAGCCACATGCACAGCTCTCATACCTGCTCCCCACTGCCCATATCCTGTTTGCTCTGAGAAAATTCAGTAACTGCCTGACCACAAACTTTTCTATAAAGTTTGAATCAGAGGCATGTTTCTTACACTGAGCACCTACCATGTACCTGGCATTATGATAATTACTTAACATTGATTTTATCATTTATTCTTCTTAACATTGCTAAGTGAAAGGTATTATTATGCTCATTTATTTAAGAGTAATGATGCTGAGAGAGGTTAAGTAATTTGCCCAAGATCATATAGTAAATGTGGCAGAGCTGGTTCTTTGGGATCAGATTATCAAAAGAAGTTCTTATTGAGAATCAATGTCGTAGATGAGAGAGAGCCTTTGGAGCAAGATCTGACCAAAAAGTATGTGTTGGAATAGTTTGGGGATTATTTCATTTTCTGTTGAAGCTACAACCTTAGGATACACTCATTGATGTCTACATTGGACATCTGTTGGCAAATATTTGTTGATGTCTTATTAAATTAGTTTATTATGGTGGCTGAGGCTGTGGGTTTGTTCTTGCATGAATAGTTAGGTCTTCTCTGTAGTGAGTTATCTTTCTAAATCATATCTTGGACACAAAGAAGCATGATGATAAAAAGTAGATAAAAACCAGGCAAAATCAGAGGTGAAAGAAAAATAAAAGTGTATTTTAATGAAGTTATTACCCAAGTGCTAAGTGTACCTTCAGAAATTCTATCCATTAGTCTAAGAATGAGAAGTTAATCAACCATCATTTCTTACTACTCTCATATCTCATATCTACAGCTATAGGCACTGGTATGTGACCTAGAGCTTTCTAGTTTTTTGTATACAAGCAAAAGGTGACTATAGGAGATAGAATTTTAAAGAATAAAGTTATGTTTGATACTGGTATGCAGGTCCCTCATCAGCCATTTCAGTCACCCAGACAGTGTGACCTGCCATCATGAAGCAGCAAGTTTGAAAACAAAGGACAGTAGTACCCATGTACATCAAACCAGGACTTTAGCTATGATCAGCCCATGAACTGCGTGTGTAGAAATGGGCCTGTATAACCCTCAAAAAACAGTCCTTCCTCTTTTGGGCTGATCATTTCCTGTTGATTAATGTTATTTGCTCTAGTACAGTGATTTTCAACTGGTATGCCACAATAATTTTATTTTTTATACAATAAATCTTTATTGTTCAGATTATTACAGGTGTTCCTCTTTTTTCCCCCCATAGCTCCCCTCCACCTGATTCCCCATCCCAACCCATGCCCTTACCCCCCTGTCACTGTCTTCATCCATAGGTATAAGATTTTTGTCCAATCTCTTCCCACATCCTTCAGAACCCATTTCCCCTGAGAATTGTCAGAACACTACCTTTCTATGTCCCGGATTCTATTATATTCACCAGTCCATTCTGTTCTTCGGATTTTTTATTCACTTGATTTTTAGATTCCTGTTGGTAGGTATATATTTGATGTCTTTTTGATGTTCATAATTTTTACCTTTACCTTTTTCTTCTTCTTCCTCTTCTTAAAGAATACCCTTCAACATTTCATGTAATCTGGGGAAATTCAGTAACTGTAATCTTGGTTTGGTGGTGATGAACTCCTTTAGCTTTTTCTTGTCTGTGAAGCTCTTTATCTGCCCTTCAATTTTGAATGATAGCTTTTCTGGGTAGAGTAATCTTGGTTATAGGTTCTTGCTGTTCATCACTTTGAATATTTCTTGCCACTCCCTTCTGCCCTGAATAGTTTCTGTTGAGAAATCAGCTGACAGTTGTATGGGAATGCCCTTGTAGGTAACTAACTTGTTACCCTTGGC